CTTCCTTCTGCTTACACTGGGCTTTTCTTGTTGCTCTTTTTCTAACTCTTTCAGTTGTAGAGTTAGATAATTTGTTACCATTTTTTCTTATTTTTTGCAATAGGCTTGTAGAGATATGAACTTCCCTCTCAAAACTGCTTTTGCTGTGTCCCATAGATTTTAGAGTGTTGTGTTTTCTTTTTTCTTTTTTTAATATATTTTATTGATTTTTTTTTGCCCCTATCCTTCCAATACATACCCTCCCTCCACAGAGTTTTATCTCCATTGGTTGTACTTATATGTATGTATACAAGTCCTTCAGTTTATCTATTATCTTCCACAAATCTCCCTTCCCTCCCCGCTGTAATTTGACAGTCTGCTTGTTGCTTTACTGTCTCTATATCTATCTTTTGGTTCATCAGTTTATAATGTTTAGAGTGTTGTGTTTTCATTGTCATTTGTTGCCAGGATGTTTTTAATTTCTTCCTTGATTTCTCTGGTAACCCAGTCCTTGTTTAATAGTATGCTGTTTAATCTCCATGTGTTTGATTCCTTTGCATTATTTTTATTGTAATTAATTTCTAGTTTTATACCACTATGATCTGAGAAGATGCTTGATATGATTTCTATCTTCTTGAATTTGAAGAGACTTTGCCTATGTCCCAAGCTGTGGTCTATCTTTGAGAATATCCCATGTGCACTTGAGAAGAATGTATATTGTGGGGCTTTGGGGTGAATGTTCTGAAGATGTCGATTAATTCCATCTGGTCTAGTGCATCATTTAGGATTGATACTTCTTTGCTGATTTTTTGTTTAGATGATTTGTCCAAAGGTGACAGTGGGGTATTAAAATCTCTTACTATGATTGTATTGCTATTAATCTATCCCTTAATGTCCTCCAGAAGTTGGGGGGGTTTTTTTTGTTTTTGTTTTTGTTTTGTTTGTTTGTTTGTTTTATGTATTTGTGTGCTCCTGTATTGGGTGCATCTATGTTTACCAGGATTATTTTTTCTTGTTGTATTGCTCCCTTTAATATTATGAAGTGGCCTTCATTATTTCTTGTTATGTCCTTCACTTTGAGGTCCAATTTGTCAGATATAAATATTGCTACCCCAGCTTTTTTTTCATTTCCATTCACCTGGGAAAACTTTTTCCATCCCTTCACCCTCAGACTGTGTGCGTCTTTTTTTCTAAAGTGGGTTTCTTGTAGACAACAGTTATATGGATCTTGTTTTCTTATCCAGTCTGTTACCCTAATTCTTTTGATTGGAGCATTTAATCCATTTACATTTATAGTTATTATTGATAGGTATTTATTTGACACCATTTTTATTCTATACTGCTGTGTTCCTTCTTTGCTTCCTATTTTTTATTTTTACAGTAAACCCTTTAGCATTTCTTGCATTGCTGGTTTGGTAGAGATAAATTACTTTAGTCTTTTTTTTTGTCTGTGAAGCTCCTGATTTCACCTTCAATTTTGATTGATAGCCTTGCTGGGTACAATCTTCTTGGATTCAGACCCTTCCTTTGCATGACTTTGTATATTTCATCCCATTCCCTTCTGGCCTGATGAGTTTCTGTGGAGAAATCAGTTGCTAGTCTGATGGGTTCATTTATATGTAACTTTCTGTCTCTCTCTGGCTGCTTTTAAGATTCTTACTTTGTTGTTGGTGTTTGCCAGTTTAATTATAATGTTCCTTGGCGTCAGTCTTCTGGGATTCCTTTTGCTTGGGACTTTGCGAGCATCTTGGATTTGTGTGGGTTTTTCTTCTCTATGTCAGGAAAATTTTCTGTCATTATTTCTTGAAATTCGTTTTCCATGTCTTCTTCAATTTCTTTTCCTTCTGGAACCCCTATTATTCTAATATTGTTTTGTTTTGTATTGTCCCAAAGTTCCCTTAGGCTCTCTTCCTGCTTTTTAATTTTTTTTTTTTCTAGAAGCTGCTCTAATTAGGAATTTTTTTTCATCTTGTCTTCTAGCTTACTGATGCGGTCTTCTGCTTCTTCTAGTCTGCTCTTGATGCTTTCTATTGAGTTCTTCTTAGTAGCAATGTCATTTTTCATTTCTTCTTGATTCATCTTCATTTCCTCTTTTTTTTCTTCATTTCCTCTTGGGTCTTATTCATATTTTCAAATTTGTCTTTCATTCTTTTTAGCCATATTATGATCATTACTCTGAATTCTTGTTCTGGTAGGTTGCTTGCCTCTAACTTGTTTATTTCCTTTTCTTTTGTTTGTGGGCTGTTTCTTTGTCTCCCCATGGTCTCTCTTTTCAGGATATCTGGTTATGTAGATCTCTCCTGCGTTGATTTAAAGGCACAAAACACAACACAACCAGGTACAACACATAAGGCACTGAACAGAAATATATTTGCGATATTAATAACCTCCAATAAAGGTGACCACTAGGGAACGGCAAATTAGGGGATAGGAGAGAAAGAGGAAGTGTAAAAAGAGAAGAGGGAGGGAGCAAAAGAAAAAGATAGGAAAAAATATGTGTGTGTGTGTGTGTGTGTGTGTGTGTGTAAATGAAATTGGGAAACAGGGAGAAGAAAAAGAGGGAGAGAGGAAGGGAGGGAGGGAGGGAGGGAGGGAGGGAGGGAGAGAGAGAGAGAGAGAGAGAGAGAGAGAGAGAGAGAGAAAAGAGACTTAGAGATAAATGGGGAATAAACTATATATATGGGGAGAGAATTTCAATAAAACAACCACTAACCCCAGCAAATGCTGGCAGCAGTACCTGGAGAATAATACAATCTATAACACCCCCTAATTTCCAGCAAAGGAAGAGAAAACAGAAGTACAAAAACCAATCAAATAAGAAAATACCAAGCAACAGCAACAACAAAAGAATAAGCAAAATACTCTCACTAAAAAGCATAAAAATACAATATAATCAACATTCCCCCAAACAGCATCAAAAAGGACAGTGAGGAAAACAATTTTGGGGGTGGGGGGGTTTGCTAGTTAATACAGCTCAGAGAGGGCTGTGTATGCACTTGGCACAGGGGATTGGAAATTAGATATATAAGTAGGGTAGAAATTTTAGTAGGCGGGAGACAGAAAGAGTAAGGAAAATCTAAAGCAGGAAAGGGTTAAAATAAACAGGATAGCAAAAGGGGAAAGGTTAGAAAGAGAGTGATGGTGTAAAGGTTGTGTTGAGATAGGGTTAAACAATGTTAAAGGAGAAATGAAAATAAAATGAAGAACACTAATTCCAATGTAAAATAAAGAGAAAGTAAAATGGCACTTAAAAAAAATTTAAAATAGCAGTAGTAATAATGCTGATTGAACCTAAAAATGTAATAATTAAAAAGTTAAAATCAAGTGTGGAAAAAAGGAAAAAATTTGTTTCTTAAATAAAAGATACAAAAAATGAAAATAAAATAAAAAATAAAAGTTTTAGCAAAAAAGAAGTGTGCAGTTGTGAAGGCCATTCACTTCTTCTGTCATTCTGTCTGGCACGCCTGTTTCAGACAGTATTGCAGTTCCCTGCATTCTGCTGCACCTCTGTGTTGTAAACTAGTCCTTGATTTTAAGATGGCGATTCCTTAGTTTCTTGGTTTTTGATCAAATAAAACTAGTAATAAACACAGTCAGTTTGCACTCCAGCCTTTAGGTGGCAGTGTTTCTGGATTTATGTCCCCGTCTTTTTGGCTGCTCTAGCCTTCTTTTTCTATGGCACTCAATACTGTGTGTGTGTGTGTTTTGTTTTGTTTGTTTGTTTTGTTTTGTTTTTTGTTTTTTGCCTGAGAGCTGAATCCTGGATGATTTCTCCCCGTTCTGCTTCTCAGCTTCCAGAAAAGCATTTTCCCCCTGCTGTCTCAGGGCCAGCCAATCTGGGTGATCTCTCCTTTGTAATCAGAAGTAAAGGGTTGCAGGGGAACCAGCCTAGGTGCGCGCTGGGCCAGTCTGCACACACTTACAAACAGACTGTTTTCCAACTCCTTTGTTCTCCCTCCATGTCGGATCAGAATGGGTTGCTCCCTAGAGAACCCCACTATCAGCAACCTTGGGGACCCCGTCCACTCTCTTAAATCACGCCAGACCCAACAATGTGGGGCTTTTGCAGACACAGATTTCCGAGGTCCCAGCACGCGCTTTTGCCTCTATCACCACAGTGGCCGCAGCTTCTGCGGCTACCGCTTTTGCTGTTGAGACACAGACACCCCACGTTATCCCAGGCAAAACCCAACCTTTCTGTGGAATCTGCGTGTCCGCACCAGTCGGGGCCTCCTCAGTTGTGATTTTTTCAGGTCTCAGGTAAGATCCCCAGTTGCGGCTCTGATGTGGTTGTGAGAGGCAGCATGTACAAGTGTTTACCTTGCCGCCATCTTCCAGGAAGTCCCTCATAGCTACTTTTAAAAGTCCTAATAAAAATTCACATTTATTCCATAGGGATATTGGTTAAAACACAAAAATCTAGTAACATTGATGGTCTTTTCTCTTTGTATGTCATTATCAAAATATTTATTTTCATTTATAAGCACATAAATTTAAACAAACAAAAAGAGTGGAACAGTAAACCACCACTTGTATCCAAACAAGATGTCTACATTTCTTTCAACAGTTAAATCCTTTACTCCACATTAGCTTAATTAAGAAAAGAAGCCGTTAAGACACTTTAGCTTGCATTCAGTATTTTTTAATAATATTTCCATTCAGGGGATATTCATTCAATTGGTCAAATGTTTGATACCACTACAAAACACTTTCACTGCCATTCTCAAGGACTAGTCATTGTTTTCTGTAGATATGGAAAATATGTATTGTAATCCTTTACCTTGAAGGCTGTCTAAAAGAGAATAATTCCATTCCATTAATTCCAGGTCAAAAATGAAGTAAATGGCTACAAGTATCTGCAATAAATTTTCACTATAGACACAAGTAATATGTATACTGTAGACTGCTATGCATTTTCCTTAATTATTTGAATTTTTAGGGAAATATATATGTTTGTGCCGGTGTAGATATAGATATAAAATATATAAAAGTAGAATGACTGATTCTGATTTTTTTTTCAGGCCTGATGGAATCGGAACAGTTTCAATGGAAGAGAAAGAGAGATTTGAGGAGATAAAAGAGAGACTGTCTTTCCTTTTAGAAAATCAGATAAGCCATTTCAGGTATGTACTCTTCATTCATACAAGTATTTGCTTTATTACTTCACTCAATCATCCAATCGCCTCCAAATGTTTATGACTTTTTGCAACTACTCAACAATTAGGAGTAACTTCACCACATTCATTGGTTTGTGGTCTGTCAATCAGCCTGCCATTCAGTGTCCTCTGCTCATTTAAGTAAGCCCCTTCCCCTGCAATGTCTGTCCCGGAGTCCCTCTCACTTGCCTTCCTGCATAGTCTCTTCATGGTAACTCTGGTGACTATTCCTCTCTCTCTCTCTCTCTCTCTCTCTCTCTCTCTCTCTCTCTCTCTCTCTCTCTCTCTCTCTCTCTCTCTGTCATCAGGCGTGGAGACTCTCAGGTTCCGCCTTCACAGCAGAACCTTTCTCAGCTCTTTGGAAAAGCAGAAGTCCTATCTGTACTTTGCACTGATCACATGGTTCTGATACACATGTTTTGGGTCACTTATTTCTTTTAAAGTTACTTTCTGTGAGAACAAGGACCACAGTGCCTAGCACAGTTCCTTGCTCAGAAAATTAAGTACTGATACTATGAAACATTTGCAGAGTGAAAGATAAATATCTTGATAATATTTCTATTCCCCTGATTATAGTTAGCTCAATAGAACTTAGTGAGTTAAAAACAGAAATATGCCAATATACTTCCTTGTCTATCACTCTTATCATTAGATCCTATAAAATGTTGCCATGTCAACATATTGTGTCTTTTAGCATGCCTGTTATTTGGAATCATTCCCTATGAACTTACTGAAAAAATGAGCTCAGTTCATATTCCCCTTTTAGCCATTTGAAAATATTGTTATTTAACCACTAGAGGCCCTGTGCATGAAATTTGTGCAGCGGGGGCTGTAAGGTTGGGGTGTTAGTCAGCCCTGCCTGCACCTTCTGCATTTGAGACCCCTTGAGGGATATTTGACAGGCAGTTGGACATCCCTCTCACAATCCAGGACTGCTGGCTCCCAACTGCTAGCCTGCCTGCTTGCCTGATTGCCCCTTAACCACTCCCCTCCCAGCCTGATCAACATCTCATTGCTCCCCTGTCAGCCCAATTGCCCCTAGCTGCCCTTCCCTGCTGCCCTGGTTGCCCCTAACTATCCTCCCCTACAGGCCTGGTTGCCCCCAACTGCCCTCCCCTACAGGCCTGGTCCCCCATAACTTCCCTCCCTTGTGGGCCTGGTCCCCCACAACTGCCCTCCCCTGCAGGCCTGGTACCCCACAACTGCCCTCCTTTGCAGACCTGGTCACCCCTAACTGCCCTCCCTGCAGGCATGGTCACCCCCAACTGCTCTCCGTTTCAGGCCTGGTCCCTCCCAACTGCCCTCCCCTACTGGCCTGATCACCCACAACTGCCCTCCCCTGCCAGCCACCTTATGATGGCCATCTTGTGTCCACATAGGGGCAGCCATCTTTGACCATGTGAGGGATGGCCACCTTGTGTGTTGGTGTGATAGTCAGTTTGCATATTGCTCTTTTATTAGATAGGATTTGAATAGTGTATGCCTAGCTGCTCTGGGCCTCAATTATTTGTGACATGAAAAGCTTTAGACTGTGGGTTGTTCTTTTTTAAATGATCTTGAAGGAAGAAATTCTCAAAGAATACACTGTACATCTGTTCCCCTACATTAGTGATTTCAACTGGGCTGGTACTATCACCTTCAGGTAAGTGAATGAGGGAGGATTTTCATTGTCACTGTAGCCAGGCACTGGGACAGTCATTAATTCTGGGTTTAGGAGTGCAGTACATGGAATAGTCTCACGCTGGAGAATTGTTTTGCCTAAAAGACTAAGAGACTCACATTAGGAAACACTAATCTTGAGAGCACAGTGCAATTCAACTTACAGGGTTAAGACTGAATTGTCTTCTGATTTTTAAAAATAATTGGAAATATGAGGAAGGCTTTTGCATTTGCAGAGAATGTTTCTGCATTTGTATTTGTTAAGAGTATTGTCTTTTAGGTTATGTAGAGACTCTTAACTTCATTGCATGTGTCTCTCAGTCACACATACTTTTCCATTTTCTGACATTGAGGCAGAGATTGTGTCATTCATTTTAATATCTATGTGTGTTGGGTTTTGGGTTTGTTTTTTTTTTTTTTGTATTTATGCTCCCCTCTACAAGTAACAGATCCTACCTCAAACTGGTTTAAAGAAATAAATGTAAACGTCATCACTTGGTATCAGGTAGTATGAACCTCAAGTCAGGCTGACTTCAGAAGCCATGGCTCTGTTTCCTGGTGGTTCTCACATAATTGCCTTCCGTCATGGGATGGCTTCATTCCCAGATTGGTAGCAAGACCATAGAATTCCTGGTCTCACATCCATATATGCCATTTTTCAAAGGAAGTAGTGGGGCATCTCTTTCTGTAATACTCTCTTAAGACCATGACGTTATGTTAGACAATCCTAGCAAATCCTACCCCTCTATCTCATTTGCCCTAAATAGGTCACAAGGCAGTCCTGTACCAAACGTGGTGGCCAGGGGATGCCCAGGCACAAAGTGCCTCAGGTAGTCGCTGAGAGTTTGGGATCACCATGATTGATTAGCCTGATTGGGGCCACCCAACCAGGGCAGTTCAATTCCCCTCCCTGTACCCCAGCAACTACACAGGGAGGCAGGAAAATGCAGTTGTCTACATAATTATTCCCCTCTCACAGTTTTGTTCTCTGTTTCTCTTAAATGCACATCTTCTTTTAATAATTTCTCTAACAATATACTTTTTAGCTTTTATCTCTTTATGCTGAGGACAAGAACTAAAAGGAATAAGTCTAGACATTTTGAGCTTATTTTTATATTCCCTTTTGATGTTTGTAAAGTTTTATAAATTTTGCCAGTTCTGTGGAAGGGGTGGGGGGTTCTTAGTCCATAAAATATTGAATAACAGGAACTGGGACTAAAATAAAACAATAATTTTTAGACATCCACATAAGAAAATATATAAATATGTATATTGTCCATGAAAATAAGGATTCTACCAAATGACCTTTCTTAGTCACTTATGTTAAAATTTAGAAAGAACATAAATTACGTATCAATTCAGGCTAAAGAAATAGTCACAGTACTAGTCATAACTCATATAGAACTTTATTTATTTAGATCCATAAATTCATGTATTCCATAAATGCATTTCAAAGACACAGATAAAATAATAGGGCAAAGTAAATTAACAATAAATGAGGAACTTCTGGTTAGAGATGGCAGATCGATGCATGTTTGCAAAGCTTCTTCCAACTAAGGATCTAACTAAAATAACAGAACACTATTTTTCAGACGACAACCCCACAAGGACAACTAAAGTAAAAGAGGAAAAGAGTTTTTGGAAGCCAGAGGAATGAATGGTATCTAATTTAGCACCGGGGAAGAACTGAATCATAAGCTGGCAGTGAGGAAAACAGAGAAGCTATCTGATTTATGTCATACAATCACCGAAGTGTTTAGGAATCTAGAAAAAAGAGTGAAGGACAACTTGTAAATGTGCTCCATTGTGGGAAATGTGTTACATCTCTTTTCCACCTCACCCTTGGGCAGAGCACTGCAGATTCAGTCTCTAAAGAGGGTCGGATTAGAGGGCACTTGGACTGGGGTAGAGGGGAGGAAACAACAGGCACAGTTGGAGTTAGGATTATATGCAGACACATGGAGATTAAATAAACGTTTATTCTGAAATAAGAATAAACAGTCTTCTCCTACCAGCTCATCCCCTTGACTCCCAAAACTCTGGCAGACTGGCAGATAGGTAGGTTTATACCTACCTAGCCTATTACAAGTGTCTTCCCATCGGAGCCTGTTTAGCCCAAGAGAAAAAAACTAAAATTCAAGACAATAAAGACTCACATGGAAACAGCCCAGATTCCCCTCCGGGAAGACCATGACCTACATGCACCCAGCTAGGTGCATGTTGCTTCCATTGAGGTTTTTAATGCCATGCTTCTGAAAATGATTAGAGAGCCAAAGTCATTAGATATTTGAGGAAAGTATTTACTATGGAAGACAGAGCCTCAAACAAATAAATACTAAAGAAGCAATTTGGGGAAAAAACAAGCACAAAGATGATACCGGAAGAAGAAAATGGGGGTGGGGGCTGGAATGAATTACTGATATCCTTAGAGAGGTTTGAGAAGATAGAGCATCTGTAAAACAAAAATAAGATGTTGTTAAAAGAAAGGAAAAAACCTTGGATAAAAGAATCTCTTACAAATTATATGCAAATGACACACAAATATATATATACTCTACTGAAAGAATTGGTTAATGAAACCTTGCAGAAATTAGGGTGGAGGAGAGGAAAATTGGAATACAACAAAGATAAGAAAAAGATCTGCTTAACAATAATTATAAATAACTAGAGGCCCGAAGCACCAAGATATGTGAAAGAATGGGCTTTCCTTCCCCTGGCTGCCAGCACTGCCTTTGCTCTGGCCTGGAGTTGGGAGTTGCCTTTCCACTTTCCCATGCTACCCAGAGGCCCTGAGCAGCTCGGAAGTTGTGGAACAACACAAGCATCTTTCCTCCAGCCACTTGTGCCTGTGTATGCCAATTAATCCACCATCTTTGTTGTGTTAATTTGCATAGTCGCTCCTGATTGGCTGGTGGGCATCGCAAAGGTATGGTCAGTTTTCATCTTTCTCTTTTATTAGTGTAGAAGATAGGAATTCTAGAAAGAGATAAGTCTAAAGGTAGGAAACTTTGAATAAAACCATTCAAAAAGATTTCCAGAATTAAGACATAAGTGCTCAGATTGAAACATTTAGTACCCAGCACAATGGATTAAAATATTTACTCATCAGGGTACATATTCATGAATTTTCAGATTCTTGGTGATAAAAGAGAAGATCCCAAAATACAAGGAATCAGAATGCTTTTCAGTGTTAATTTATTCTAGAACCTTTTTTTTGAGTACCTACTATGTGTCAGGTAGTGAACAACAACAACTAAAAAGATCCTGTGCTTCTACAGCTTTCGTTTTAACCTGAGGGGTGATACTAT